TGACCCAAGGATGAGCTGACACAGGATTCGTACAGAGTCAGGGGGGTTAGCCAAGGGTGTTGTCGCCTGAGCGCCGGCCATATCCCTGATCCAGAAGGTGCTGTCGCCAGAGCGTTGGTCGCATTCTTGATTGGGAATGGTGCTGTCGCCTGTGCGCTTGTCACTTGCCTGACAGGGGACGGTGCTCTCGCTTGAGCGTTGGCCACATCTTCATACTAGGATACTTGTGGTCTCCATCTTCGAAGGGTTGTCTGGGTTGTCCAAGGGGTTGTCCGGTTTTTTTTCCTATGCGTTTTCTCCATGCAATATAATTGTTTGTGAGTTGTACCTCAAGAAGGCAGGAGGGAGGATTAGGAGGGAGGAGGAAAAGAAGGAGGAGGATGGGGGGGAAGAGAGCGTTGTTAGTCGCAATAGGCAGTATGTGTTGGATGGAGTGTTTGCCTCGTGTCCGTCTGTCGAGCTTGTTAGCGGATTAGTTCCCGAACGGGTTGGCTCATTGGTGGGTGGTTAGGCGGGTCGCAGCGTGAAAGGTTATAGTGTTTTGATCCTTCCCGCCATTTCTATCGAAGACGCCTACGGCGAATCACCGCCGCCCCCTGCCCTTTCGGAAGCGCCGATGCGGCCGACTGCTGTGGCCAGAGGTCTGCCAAGTTATTGGGCCATATGTTCCCCGAATCGGTCTTTACAGCCTTCGGGGAACACGTGGGGGAGGACGGGGAGGAGAGGAGAGATAGGAAGGGGGGGAATGGAGGAGGAGGTCTCTTGAGTGCCTTTTTGGCTACTCTGGGTTTATATTGGGCCACATGTGCGGTCTTGGAAGCATCTTGGGGGCCTCTTTGGATGCCTTGCGGCCTTCCTGTTCTGCCTGACGCCGTCTGGGCTGGGTTGGGGGCCTCTCTGTGGCCTCACTTGGGTTTATCGTGGCCGTAGTGGACGCCAGCGTGGGCGTTTGGGAGATCTGCCGGGCCGTCTTGGGGCTGTCTTTGGGGCCGTTTTGGGGCTTTCTTGTGCCGTCTAGGGGCGTTCTTGGAGGCCATCTTGGCCGTCTTGGAGGCATCTTGGAGGCCATCTTGGGCCATCTTGGCCGTCTTGGAGGCCATCTTGGGCGTCTTGGAGGCCTCTTGGGCCGTCTTGAGGCCCTCTTGGGGCCTTCTTGGGGGCCTCTTGGGCCGTCATGGGGCCATCTTGGAGGCCTCTTGGGTGCTGTTGGGGCGATGTTGGGGACCTCTTGGGCCGTCTTGGGCCGTCGGAGAGCTGAAAAGAAGAACATGCCAAAATCCTTCAAAAACCTAAGGAAAATCAATGATTTTAACCTATTCGGGCCTTCCTGGAGGGCGTCTTGGAGGGCTCTTGGGCCGTCTTGGAGGCCTTTTGCGGGCCTTTTGGGCCGTCTTAGACCATCTTGAGGCCATCTTGGGCCGTCTTGGGTGCATCTTGGAGCCATCTTACCCGTCTTGGAGGCCATCTTGGCCGTCTTGGAAGCATCTTGGAGGCCATCTTGGGCCATCTTGGCCGTCTTGGAGGCCATCTTGGGCCAAGTTGGGGCAACAAAGGCATTGACAGATGGATTTTCGGAAACTTGCGGGTGGCCGGCGGGACGGGCCGAAGCCCACTGGGGAGTTCTTTTTTAGAAAAAGAACCAAAACCAAAACCTGAAACATCCAGCACGCCGTGCACCCCTGTGGCAAGACCACAGGGGGCGGCGGATTTTCTCTTATACGATGGCCCATCCCGCCACCGTGCCCAGGTTGTGGGTCCGAGGCTTTTTGGAGGTTCGTCGGGATCTCGTTGGAAGCTTCTCTGGGGCCTCTGTTCTGGGGCCTCTTGTGGGCCTCTTGGGAACCTCTTGGGGCCTTTTGGGAGCCGCCTGGGGCCTCTTGGGGGCCTCTTTGGGCTTCCTGGGGTCCTCTTGGGGCGGATGGCTCGAATCGTCCGTTCATGCTCCCCCTCTGAGGGCCGTCTTGGGGCCCTCATGGGCCGTCTTGGGCGCATCTTGGGCTGTTTCCGGGCCCTCCGGAGCCGTCTTGGAGCCGTCTTGGAGTTCTTTTGGGTTGTTTTGGGGCGGCGATCGTTCCAGGTTGAACGATCCGCGCGGTTTCAGAAACTCAAGGGGGGATCGTCTCGACACATATTTGCCGTCGCATCGCCAGACTTATCCCCACCCATTGGCCAGGGTTTCTTCGCGCCAACAGCCTACTCCCTCGAGGCGGGGATGGGCGGAGCGAAACCCGAAAGGAAACGGCGTCTACATTTATCCCCACCCAGGCGGGTAGGAGGGACAGCGGGGCCATAGCTTTCCCAGTTGGAACAGGGATAAGTCCAACGGTCTAGCGATAAGTCCAACGGTCCCAGTTGCATCTCCAGGTGGACTTGCGTGTCCCATCAGATGCGGTCATTGCCTTGCATCCTCCGCGGGTTTGACGTAGGTTCGACGTTGATTCGATGAGTGCTCGACGCGGATACATAGCGATACCATTGGACAGAACCGTTTCCGCGAATATGAATCGTCAGAGCACTACCTCCACTTTCTGTTTTCTGCATCGGGAATGCAGTGTTTTCTTGTTGATCCGCGGTCGTCCCAAAGGCCTTTCTTCTTGTGGTTGTCGTCGTCGTTGTTGTTGTTGTTTTGAACATTATTAATTCTAAAGAATAATTATTGTTGGGACCCCTGGTGCACGGCCCCCCTGCGCCGCCTAGGCCGCAGCTACATTTTCATCATTTTCGTGAGGAAGCCTCAGGTAATACGATGTCATCAAGATCCGGTTGTTTTGTTGTAATCCGTTTTCCCTTGCAAAAAACACTATAAAATGACATTTCTTGTTCTAATATAATCAAATTTCAAGAATCCCTTGCAAAAAATAAGGTAAAGTGGACATTCGCGCGCGCAAGACGAAATCCTTCCAAAAGCTTAGTGTTCGGAGCGATTTTAACATAAAAACATCAAAAAACCAATGGTTTTTCAACAAAAAAATGTCAAAATCTCATCCCGCGCGCTCTTGCGGATTCGTAGGAAACCCAACACTTTTTAAACATTTCTGTCAAACGGGCTTTTGCGAGCAACTTTTTCGAACTTCTGCGACAACGGTTGCGCACCTGCCAGGGCCATCATCCCTGTCAAATAATACCATGCGGGACACATTCGTTTTTTCTTCGCGCGCGCACGCCGAAATCTCCAAAAACCATTGGGCTTCTTAAGAATTTTAGCACCGCGCATCATAAAATCACACGAATCGCACCGTAGGTCCTCGAAAAACACCTGCACGACTTTTCAAAATTTCTACCCGCGCGCGCTGTCCGAATCCTAAAAAAACCAATGGTTTTCCAACATTTATGTTACATGAGCTCGCGCGAGCTACTTTCGCAAGCTCTTTCAACGGCGTTCGCGCGCCTGCCAGGGGCCACAATCCCTTGCAAAACATACCATGGCGTCAGGAACACGTTACCACCAAAAACCAGTACAGGTGTCCAGTGTTGGAACAGGGGGAAAAGTCGTATACTAAGCTAGCGCCCAGAAAATGTTACCACAACAAGTCACTGTACCCATGCGCCAGTGTAGTAGCCACGGTCGTCCGCAGGCCACGAAGTGAAGTGTCCGAACGTCATAGGGCGGGAAGCTGGGTGTGGGTGGTGCGAAGAGTCGTTTGGAAATGTGGTAGAGCTTGAACCGGCCCCCCCACAAAGTGGGGGTATTGGCGGGCGTCGTATGAAAACCCTGGCACTGGTGAGAACGGAGTGTCCCCACGTGCTAGTAATTGTTGTTGTTGTTGTTGTTGTTGTTGTTGTTGTTGTTGTTGTTGTTGTTGTTGTTGTTGTTGTTGTTGTTGTTTCCGTTCTTGTTATTATTATCCGTAAGGGTTTCGCCCCATGCCGCGGGCCCCTTGTCTCAGATAATCGGAGATGCAAAAGCTAAATCATGAGGTCTGGGCGCCGCCGTGAAGCAGTGTCGGGACCTGTTTGTTTTTCAACCCTGACCCTACGGATCTGGGTCACGGGTGCCATCGAATTTCAGGAATGTGGCAAATCCGTTGTGTTTTTGGACCCCTGCGTGAGGGGTGCCGCCGAATTTCAGAAATGTTACAAATCTCATATGTTTTTGCACCCTGACCCCGCCGGTCTGTGTGAGGGGTGCCAGCGAATTTAAGAAATGTGGCAAATCCTATGTGTTTTTGGACCCTGACCCTGCTGATCTGCGCGAGGGTGCCAGCGAATTTCAGAAATGCGGCAAATTCCATTTATTTTTGCACCCTGACCCCGCCGATCTGCGTGAGAGGTGCCACCGATTGTCAGAAATATGGCAAAACCAATGTGTTTTCTGACCCTGACCCCGCCGATCTGCGTGAGGGGTGCCAGCGAATTTCAGAAATGCGGCAAATCCCACGTGTTTTTGGCCTCGACCCCGCCGGTCTGCGTGAGGGGTGTTAGCGAATTTAAGAAACGTGGCAAATCCCATGTGTTTTTGGACCCTGACCCCGCCGATCTGCGTGAGGGGTGCCAGCGAATTTGAGAAATGTGGCAAATCCGTTATGTTTGTGCACCCTGACCCCGCTGGTCTGCGTGAGGGGTGCCACCGAATGTTAGAAATGTGGCAAATCGGTTATGTTTGTGCACCCTGACCCCGCCGGTCTGCGTGAGGGGTGCCACCGAATGTCAGAAATGTGGCAAATCCCTTGTGTTTTTGGACCCTGACCCCGCCGATCTGCGTGAGGGGTGCCAGCAAATTTCAGAAATGTGGCAAATCCACTATGTTTTTGCACCCTGACCCCGCCGATCTGCGCGAGAGGTGCCACCGATTTACAGGCATGTGGCAAATTTTTGTGTTTTTGGACCCTGATCCCGCCGATCTGCGTGAGGGGTATACATTTTTACCCACCCAAGCAATTCAGACAACACGCTCAGGGCGTTGTAAAATGCCCGTTCTGGGCCTCCCCCCCTCGCGCGGTCCATCAGCAAGGAACTTCAGCGCACACCGCCCCTGCTCCGCCCTCCTCCCTATTCTGGAGGTGAGCGTCCAGGACGTGTACGGTGCCGAGTTCTCTGGGTCTCTGAGGGCGTGGACCGAGCGAAACAGCAGCTGGAGTGACGGCCTCAGGAAGGGAGGTGAGGGGAGGGCAGGGAGGGGAGGGATTGAGAGGACCTGATCAGATCAATTGCGAGGGAGGGGAGGCGGAGGTGAGGGAAGGACCCGGAGCTTCTATGTCATTTTTCGTTCAACACGTAGGGGTTCGAGCTCTTGATCCCAGTTCGTGGCCCAGGGTTTGGATGCGAGCCTTCGGATGCCCACGCGCAGATCATCAGGCCGCTATTTGTTTGATGGTGACCTCAGTTGTCTGGGAGAGGAAGTCGTTCGCAGAGACTATGCTCAACTCAAAGTTCGTATCTCGGCATCGTTCAAGATTGCCTTGCATGTTCACCGCGCGAGCCGTGGATCCGAGCGCGCGTTCCAGATGCGGAAGAGAGAGCAGGGCAACGAGGTGAGCCTTCGAAGTCGACGCTGCGCCACTTCATCCCTCTCGTCATGTCCCTGCCCCTGCTTCTCTTGCTCCTGGTGCTCCTGCTCCTCATTTTCGTCCTCTGGGATAGGATTAGAATTCAGTCGATACTGGTTTTTGAAATGATGCACCATGGTGGCGAATGGTCTAAAAATTGGGAAAGCCTTGATTACGTGGAGCATTCAAGCCAACGGCAGTGATTGGCTCCCGCATTTCGATGTAGACTTGTTTCCACCATTTTCGAACATGTAGAGCCCGAGTCAGAGTAAAGTCTAGTCCTCATCGTCCTCATCGTCCTCCTCGACACGGGCCCCAGAGCCTCCGATGGCGACACCGCTCTTTTTTAGGAGCGGGCCGGATTGCCCATGCGACTCTGAGTTACGGCCTCTACTACGAATGAGAGTCAGGAGATGACGACATACCGATACCGATATCCTTTCCTCGTTCTTGCCAGCGCGGGCCTTGGTTGGAATCTCTGAGGCTGTAGATCTAGGGTCGTTTTCGATGTGTGCATGTCTGTCTGTTCGAGGACTTGCCCCGCTGTGCAGTTTCCGCTCTAGTTCCGCGGCAGTCCCGCAGCAAAGGTTGCAGCTGCATCTGCGATTGCTGATGAAAGTGTGCCTTCCCTGACGCCCAACGTGGTGTGTTTGTTTCGCAGTGTGGGGCCCCAGAGGTCTCCTTCGCCAGGGCCAGTTCGTCATCCCGAGTCGCTTTGTCACAGCGCTGGGGCCCAGTAAGGGCCCCGAAGAGCCGAATAGTGCCCAGGGCCTCCCGCAGTTTTTGCTCCACGACGTGCGAGGGTGGGGTGAGAGAACTGCGTTTTTGAGCCAGATCCTGCTTCGAATACACGCAGTTGTTAAGCCGGATCCGGCTTCAAAAACACGCAGCGTTCTCGGGTCATCGTCCGGCCACCTCCTGGTCTCCGGTTCTGACCTGCGCCCGGGGCTCGCCAAGGCCTCGACGTGTGGCCGTCGGGCGACCGCCGCTTCAACTTCACCTCGGAGCCCGTCGGGCGGGGTGTGGTGCCAGGGGGGGGAGAGGGCTCGGTGACGGCCTGACAGACCCCTTTCGGACCGACCCCTTCCGTGACGGGCATGTGGCCGGAGGGCAGCCTCGATAATGAGAGCTCGTCACGGAAGGGGCTCCTCACGGAAAGAGTCGGTTTGGCCGCGCCCGAAGTTTTGTTGTCGCCAGCGAATCATTTCGGTGACCCGTCACCGCCGACACCTCTTCCCTTTCCACTTTTTCTCGACCCTCCGCCTCTTCAAGTCGCCCGGGGCTTGGCTCACCTCCAAGGTTTCCAGCCTTCGTCTCGTTTCTATTGGGTGTGGATCTCGACGCCCCTAGAGCATGGGGTTGTCACGGAAGGGATCGGCCAGGCCACGCCAGAAGGGGGATGATGGTGGAGGAGGGGGAGGATTACATCGATTCGATTTGATTGTTCTTCGCACAACGGAGTTGTGCATGAACCGTCTCCCGCAAGAGTGATCCATCGGAAGGATCCTGTCGTTCTACCCTCTAGCGAGAACTTCCGTTGCCAGAGAGGCTCAGGGGCCCGCCCGGTCACGCAACACGATTTACGCTTGCGGGGGGTGGGGGCGGGGTCCGGTAACGTCCTGGCTGTGAGTGGTTCAGGACGGGGACGACGACGTGATGACGCCGACGACAATCACAACAACGGCTGCGATGGCGATAACGACGACAACGACGACGACGATGACAACGACGCCGTCGCCATGACGACGACGTCCGATGACGTCATATGACGTCCGGCGACGTCCGACGGCGACGACGATGACCGACAACGTCGGGAGGCTCCAGCGGCCTCAAGAGGTGCACGTTGGCAGTGTGTATTCAGGCACCGTAGTGTTTGCAGCCACTGCGGAGTTGTGGTGTGTAGCTTCTGCAGCAGCAGCATTTGTGGTGTACACAGGCGCTGTGGTGTACAGAGGCACTGAGGTTAACACCAGCTATGTGTTGCGTACGGCTGCTGTGGGTAACAGGCACTGTGGCGTACACAAGTCCTGTGGTGCAAACTTGGGCTCTCTTGCAACATCAAATACATAATGTGTGTAATATGATTACGTTACATGCCCCATGCCGCTTCTCTTCATCGTAATCATTATTCCGTTCGTCATCACCCATCCGTTCCCTTATGTCCTTGTCTTGCTAAGTCGCATTTGCCAAGACATGTGCGTAAACAGCTCGTCATATTGTTGTGCTACATACCTTTACGTGATCGGTGACTACGAGCGGTTGCCACTATTACGTTACCATTGTCCGTCTCACTTCTCACGGCCGTTCTTTTTTCGCGTTATCTCTTGTATCTCGTATTATGTTTGTTGTGTTCGTTTGCTTCCTCTCGCGGGCGGCAGCATATCCATATCCATGGCCTCTCGGTCCAGACTCCTCCGCCGCGGCCTTGTGGATGCGGGGCAGCCTGGCGCGGATGTCCCGCGAGGGGCGCATCCGTGGGTTAGTGCATCCGTGGGGATCGCTGCCTAATGTCCAGGCCACCAGGTCATAGATATTATGGTGGTCGTAGAAGAGGGTTGATCCCCAAGAGGAGTGCGAGAATCGACCCAGCTGGATGCTCAGCTGTCCTTCTTCCAGGGGCAGGTCAGAGCGATGTTCCTCCAACCCCACCTCTGCTCCTACCTCACCTTCATGCCCTCCCCGAAGTTGTGCTCGCCGCTCGCGACTCTCCCTCGGTCAGCCAGCGGCGCGCCGACCTCGCCCGCAGAGTCGCCGCCGCCCTGGGCGCACGCGCCCGCCCGCGCGCTTTCACCCTGCAGCGCGGGCGTAGCATGCGGGGCTGGCAGCGCGGCCAGGACACCCGTTATGCCTCCTCGCCATCGCTGTCGTCCAGGACGACGACGACGACGTCGAGGAGGAGGAGGAGGAGGAGGACCCGCTACAAAGCACCCGCATCGACCCCCAGTCATTCTGCCCTGACCTGTTTTCATCGCCCACCTTCGCTTCCATCTACTCTCTGCTGCCGGCCCTACTTCGCCCTTGCTCCAAGACCTGCCACAGACTACGAATATCCGCATATAGTTTACAGCGCCTAGGAGGCGCCTTTGCAGGGAGTACGACGCCGACCCGATGCCCTGTACTAGCTACTAGCTACGTCGCTGCTTAGAAATTATGAGTTGGGAGAGGACGAGTGGCGGTGATGGGGAGGTAGAGGAGAAGCAGACTAACCAAACCTGATCACCTCATTTCAACCGCGTTCGTAGCTAACCGTAGGAGGTCTTCAGTTTTGCATCGCCCCCCCCCCGCTTCTCTCGGCGGGGAACAAACTCGTACCTCCTCCTCCTCCTCCTCCTCCTCCTCCTCCTCTTCCTCTTCCTCTTCCTCCTCCTCATCATCATCCGACCCCCCTCATCATCCTCCTAATCTTCTGCTGCTCCTCGTGGTCGTTATCACAGTCGTCGTTGCCGTCGTCGCCGTCGCGGCGGAAAATATGTTAACTCTGTTGTCGGGCGGGCTGGATAAGGTAGTAGGTTCTTTCTCCAGGGAGTACGCAATTGTGGGCCCCTACGCGCGAGAGGATTCGAGAGCACCTTCTCATGACCATTACGATAGGAATCAGTGGGTGTGGTTGTAGTCGTGATTGTCGTCGTTGGTGTAACCGTGATTGGAACAGTGACTGTAGTCGCGATTGTCGTCGTAATCGTAGTCGTTGCTGTAGTCGCAATCGTTGTCGTAATCGTCGTCGTCGTCGTCGCGGCGGGGGGTATGTTCCCTGTATTGTTGGGCGAGCTGGATAATGTTGGTGGCATCACTCCACCATGGAGTGATCCATTGTGGGTTACCCTATGCGCGGGAGGATGTGTGAGCATCGTTGTCGTTGTAGTCGTGACTGTAGTCGTGGATGTAATCTTAGGTCTAATCGCGATTGGAGTCGCGAGTGTAGTCGTAATCGCAGCCGTGGCTGTAGTCGTGATCGTTTGAGGGAGTTTCTGTGGAACTCACGTCATCCTGACCCCCAGCGCGCGAGGAAATGGCCCCGCCGACCGCCCCCTCTGTTCCGTTTCAGGCGACGTCCGGGAAATCCGTCGAATCCGGCGAATCTGGGGAATCCGGCGACAAATTCCAACCTTTCCGGACAAGAACGGGAAGCGCCGCTTCTCTGAGCTTGCGTGCGCACGCGCAGGGCTTTGCACACAACGTGGAATGTGTCTTCATGGGGTTGGTCGTCGCTGGGCTTCCCTAAACGCCCAAATGGTTGCCATGAGTAGCTTATGTTGAGTGGTTGCCTCTGGTTGGGTTGGTCAAGTGCTGCGCGTGGCCTGTATGCGTGTGTGCGTGCGTGTGCTTGTGTGTGCGTGTGCAGGTGCGTGTGCGGCTGTGTGCGTATGTGTGCCTGCGTGGGAGCGTGTATGCAGTATGTGTTCTGGGGGGGGGCGGGACGGGGGGCTGTGCGGCGTGCGTGCCGGGTGTGTGCTGGGCGGGCGGGCGGGGGGGGAATACGGTGGGCGTCCGTTTTAAACCGCATGGCCGTTGTAACCCGCCTGGCCGTGGAAGGCTATCTAGATCAAGCGTGGCCGTTTTATCCCGCGTGGCCATTTCAAAATGAGCGATTGGGGGTCGATGCGTCCCCCCCTATGCATATCCCCCCCTCCTCCTTCTCCTCCTCCTCCTCCTCCTCCTCCTCCTCCTCCTCCTCCTCCTCCTCCTCCTCCTCCTCCCCTCTTCCTCCTCCTCCTAGCCCCCCTCCGCTCAGGCCCTCCTGCGAGGGGCTGGGTTACATGCAGTTCCCGCGAACCGTACCCGCGCGGAGCTGGCGGCCCCCCCCTTTGGCCAGCGTCGCATCACTGCACATACGTATGTGATGTCTGCTGTATTGCTCTTGAGTGTGCTAACATTCGTACACTGGAACTGCATGGCAGCAGATGGGGCGAGGTTGCAGGATATTGGTGAGGAAATGAGAGCTGTGGACATCATCGCACTCACAAGTGCGTGCGGGAGGCGGCACTCGACCAGCTTGTAGTGTTCACGACGCTTCGCTACCACTTCGAGATCAGAAGCGGGTTCGTTCCTGGTGGAAAGTATGTAAATCGATGTTGTGGCATTACACTTCTTCTTCGAAAGCGAGTTTTCCGGCGGCGGCACCTGGTGGATGTCCCTGCAGTACCAGTTGCTCTCCGTGGACGCGTGGCCGTATATAGGCTACGGTCAGAGCTGTTCGATATCATTATACCAGTGACATATTTCCCCCGAAGCCGTCGGGGAAACGGGTCGGACGAGAGAGTGACGACGACCCACTCCGACAGTATCGACACACAGTAGATGCGATGATTTTTTGGCTGGAGAAGACTCTGACGTGGTCGTGTAAGCGGTCGGCTCTGCTATGGGGCTTCGACCTGAACGACTTGTTCGGCTGGCGGCGTCGGGCAGGCGGTGTGCAAGAGCCGACCGTCTCACCTGCATTGGGGCCTCATCGAGTGGGCGAACAACGATATGCAGCATATCGGGTTCTTGAAGTTATGGAGCGGCACGCAGTGTCAGTTGCGCCCACTGACTTTGACCTCGGGCCCAGCTACTACGGGGCGGCGGGTATGTCTCATATCGACTATGTGGCTATTTTTCCCTGGCAGGAGCACATGGTGGACCGTTGTATCTCGATGCGCTCTTCCAACTTACGCTTGAAGTTAGTCAAGAAGGTTGGGATTGCCAGACCACGTTCCCCTTCTCCTTCGCCTGAACTACACGTTCGATATGACGTCAGCCAAGCACGGCACACAGTGGGACGTCGACAATCTCGGCGAGGCCCTGCGTCGTGGCAGGGGGGCGAGGGAGTTCGTCGAGGATCTAGAGGCCCAGCTCGAGGGAGTGGACTTTCATGAGTTGCTGCTGCATGCTCCCACTGCTGCTGATAGGCACTTCTCACGCGCGGCCACCTCCGACCTTCAGGCGCTTGCGCACGTGCGCGAGCGAAGTCGCCTACTTGCTGCCCGCCGTGCTGCACGGGCGGCTGGCGTCGACTTTTTCGGGACGTCGATGCAGTTGGCTCGGCTCTCGCGTCAGCTTCGGCAGGCTCGTCGTGCTCGGCAAGAGGTCGTAACAGAGAGTCTGGTTTCGGAAATAGGATCGGCATGGAGGAAACAACAGCACGCAGAGGTCTGGTGTCTTGCACACGTTTTGGCTGCCAAGTGTGGGGGCCCCAAGCGTAGGCGCTACAACGCGGTTGACGAGTTCGTTCCGAAGGTTGCCGAGATTCGGGATCACTTCGCCAAATCGGAGCCAGCTGGAGGGTTCGAGGCATTCCCGATTGAGTTCCAGGAGTACCAGGAGGCTCAGTGCGAGGCCGCCCCCAAGCCCCCCATGTCCGGTATCGACAACTTCGAGCATGTCGAACCCGGTCGGGAGGATCTCGAGCGCGTTTTAGAATAACTGGCGAAAGTACCTCGGCGCACAGCTGCCCCCCTCCATAGTGCACCTTCAGAGGTCCTCCTTCTGGCACTTCACCCCCAGCGACGATTCGACGGCACGTATAGGCGACCGAGAAGGCGTGAGAATGATGACGACGACGGCGACGGGCCTCGGCAGACCCCAGTTTGCGCCCCTCGGCATCGGCTTGCAGGTGATCGGAGAGGCATAGGCGCGGCGCCCGAGACCTTCGACAATCCTCCACGCCCAAGGGGCTCCACAAGGTTTCCCACCGCATCAGGCGAATCGGCAGGCTCCCCCCCCTCCCCCCCTGGTCTGGCACCACTCTAGGGCGACGGGCCTGAGTAAGCAGAACAATAAGGAGGACTTCGGGGCCTTGAGGTGCATTCACGGGCTCTGCAGAATGGGTGTCGCTTGGTTTAAGGCGCAGCTCCAGAAGGGCCCCCCGGACGAGGCCCCCGGTAAAGAACATGGGCACCGCCGCGGGCGTAGCAGGGGGGGGGCCATGATCTGCCGGGAAGTTCTCTTGTGGAGGCTGCGCAGTCTTGGGGTTTCTCCGGTGGCTTCGACAGAGGATATGTCCAACGTTTTTGGGTGTTCTACGTTCCCCGAGCTTAGGCGCACCGTGGAGGAATCTATCGCTGGGCCTGATCAGGCCTACTTTTTCATCATAGACATGAGCGCAGTACTTTCACTACTACGGGGGCTGATGGGGAACTTACTATGCACAATCGGTGTGGCGCGTTCATGGGCGATGGCCCAGCAGCAGTATTTCTTTCGAGAATATTTCGACGCCCCGTTCAGCGATGGCGAGGCTATGCGAGCGCATGTTTGGCCGGATGACGTTCCTCCTCGTCCCTCCTCATATCAGGATTGGATAGATCAACCTGCCGTCCCTCGTGCTCCTCCTCGGGATTGGTCGCAGGTGCTGTGGCCGAGCGAGACTTTGCGTGCAGCATGGGCGCCGATCAGTCAGCGCCCAGACTCATGTGGTGACGTCTGCAGAGAACGCACAGTTCACCTTGCACACGGCCCACGGAGGCTTGACTGCCGCTCTGCAGGAGATCGGATGCGCTCACAACCGTGGGAAAAGCAGCATCTCTCCCTCCTTCGTCGGTCGAGGTGCTCATGCACATGCTGCATGCTGCACATGCTGCTCGGCATTCAGACGGCTATAGACGGAGGAGCTCAAGGAGAATTGAGGATAATAATCTTAGCATGCAGGAGGGGGCACTACTCAATGGGGGGGTTCTGGTCTCGGAATCGGGCACGGCGCCAAAACCGTACTGCATTCGGAGCGGTCGTTCAGAGCGCGCTGTTGTCTGGGCTCACCACCTTCATATTGACGGAGGCCCAGAAATCCAGGCTTGACCGAGTTCTTGTCGGGTTCGGTCGTAAGTTGCTCGGCGGTGACGCTCGTGCCAAGACGACTGTGGTGGGCTGCGACGGCGAGCCCATCTCAGACGACGACGGTCAGGGGGTCGTAAAATATCGGGCCCTGTCGGACGAGGATGTGCGACGCCGAGTGGGGGTTGCGCCATCTGGGGTTGAACTCTGCGTCAGCTTCGGCAGGCTCGTCGTGCTCGGCAAGAGGTCGTGACAGAGAGTCTGGTTTCGGAAATAGGATCGGCATGGAGGAAACAACAGCACGCAGAGGTCTGGTGTCTTGCACACGTTTTGGCTGCCAAGTGTGGGGGCCCCAAGCGTAGGCGCTACAACACGGTTGACGAGTTCGTTCCGAAGGTTGCCGAGATTCGGGATCACTTCGCCAAATCGGAGCCAGCTGGAGGGTTCGAGGCATTCCCGATTGAGTTCCAGGAGTACCAGGAGGCTCAGTGCGATGCCGCCCCCAAGCCCCCCATGTCCGGTATCGACAACTTCGAGCATGTCGAACTCGGTCGGGAGGATCTCGGGCGCGTTCTAGAATTACTGGCGAAAGTACCTCGGCGCACAGCTGCTCCCCTCCATAGTGCACCTTCAGAGGTCCTCCTTCTGGCACTTCACCCCCAGCGGCGATTCGACGGCACGCATAGGCGACCGAGAAGGCGTGAGAATGATGACGACGACGGCGACGGGCCTCGGCAGACCCCAGTTTGTGCCCCTCGGCATCGGCTTGCAGGTGATCGGAGAGGCATAGGCACGGCGCCCGAGACATTCGACAATCCTCCACGCCCAAGGGGCTCCACAAGGTTTTCCACCGCATCAGGCGAATCGGCAGGCCCCCCCCCCTCCCCCCCCTGGTCTGGCACCACTCTAGGGCGACGGGCCTGAGTGAGCAGAACAACATGGAGGACTTCGTGGCCTTGAGGTACATTCGCGGGCTCTGCAGAATGGGGGTCGCTTGGTTTAAGGCGCAGCTCCAGAAGGGCCCCCCAGGCGAGGTCCCCGGTAGAGAACATGGGTACCGCCACGGGCGTAGCAGGGAGGGGGCCATGATCTGCCAGGAAGTTCTCTTGTGGAGGCTGCGCAGTCTTGGGGTTTCTCCGGTGGCCTCGAAAGAGGATATGTCCAACGCTTTTGGGTGTTCTACGCTACCCGAGCTCAGGCGTGCCGTGGAGGAATCTATCGCTGGGCCTGACCAGGTCTACTTTTTCATCGTAGACATGAACGCAGTACTTTCACTACTACGGGAGCTGATGGGGAACTTACTATGCACAATCGGTGTGGCGCGCTCATGGGCGATAGCCCAGCAGCAGTATTTCTTTCGAGAACATTTCGACGCCCCGTTCAGCGATGGCGAGGTTATGCGAGCACATGTTTGGCCTGATGACGTTCCTCCTCGTCCCTACTCATATCAGGTTTGGATAGATCAACCTGCCGTCCCTCGCGCTCCTCCTCGGGATTGGTCGCAGGTGCTGTGGCCGAGCGAGACTTTGCGTACAGCATGGGCGCCGATCAGTCAGCGCCCAGTGGATTTATCTTGTCGTAAGTATGCTGACGATACCAGTAAGACTCATGTGGTGACGTCTGCAGAGAACGCACAGTTCACCTTGCACACGGCCCACGGAGGCTTGACTGCCGCTCTGCAGGAGATCGGATGCGCTCACAACCGTGGGAAAAGCAGCATCTCTCCCTCCTTCGTCGGTCGAGGTGCTCATGCACATGCTGCATGCTGCACATGCTGCTCGGCATTCAGACGGCTATAGACGGAGGAGTTCAAGGAGAATTGAGGATAATAATCTTAGCGTGCAGGAGGGGATACTACTCAATGGGGAGGTTCTGGTCTCGGAACCGGGCATGGCGCCAAAACCGTACTGTATTCGGAGCGGTCGTTCAGAGCGCGCTGCTGTCTGGGCTCACCACCTTCATATTGACGGAGGCCCAGAAATCCAGGCTTGACCGAGTTCTTGTCGGGTTCGGTCGTAAGTTGCTCGGCGGTGACGCTTGTGCCAAGACGACTGTGGTGGGCGGCGACGGCGAGCCCATCTTAGACGACGACGGTCAGGAGGTCGTAAAATATCGGGCCCTGTCGGACGAGGTTGTGCGACGCCGAGTGGGGGTTGCGCCATTTGGGGTTGAACTCTGCGTTCGTCGACTTCGCACCTATCGGAGATGGATCGCCTGACCCTCTGGCCGGCCCCAAGAAATCGCGGCCGTTTTCGGCCAGCTCCCGCTCGAAGAGACCCCCGCGATCCTCGAGAACGGCGCGCTTGGGCCCAAGGTTAGTCCGTGCGCTCGGAGGTTTGCCCTGGACGTCTTGAGGCTCCTGGGCCGCTCCGAGGCCGAGGACTTGGAGGACCTGCTAAAGGCTTCGGACTCGAATGTGGCTGGAGGCGACTAAATGTTCGAGCTCTCTTTCTGGACGACGACCTCCGAGGGCGATTTCTCGCTCTGGACCCTGGTATTTTGAGGGCCGCTGCCAGGGCTGTGACACTTCCACCCCCTCCTGGGCTCTGTGGGAATTCTGCTGGCGTTCCTGAGGTGCCCGAGGTCGCCCCGCCCCCGCCGGCGCCCATATTAAGGCGTGAGCTTCGAGGCCCCGAAGGGAAAGAGCGTGGACGGGGGCTCAAGACACGGAGGGCCTTCTTGGCACATCAGAGGTTCTCGCTTGGAGGGGGGCACGCGTGTCGCTCCGTGGCCCATGCGGCCACGATCACGAATTAATGTATCTTTTGCATGCAGACGCTTCGAACTCGAAGGATCGCCCAGGAGCACCTCGTTCAGGCTACGCTCACTGGCAGGTGCTTCGCCCAGGCCTCCCCCTTCAAGCACCCCATCATACAGCCCGGCTCCCTCGAGTGCCCTTTCGCGCCCTTCGCGGTGAGATCGGTGTTCGGGGGGCATTGTCTGGGGCTCTGGTGCATTGTCGAACAGCCGTTTGGCACGCTGTTTGAGCTATCGCGGCATCTGAGGGGGCGCCACGCCCCCCGAGAGCCTCTCTACTCAGCAGTGCGGGCGCGCGCAGATGTTCAAACTCTCCGACGAGGCCCTCGGAGAAGCGGGAACCAGGCCCCGCTCCGTGCAGCGCGGCGGCTCTCAGCCGAGAGGACGGGGAGGCCGCTCTGGCTCGGCAGCCGCTTCCCGCAGGCGTGGCGATCACGCGAGAGGCGCCGGGCGCAGCGCCGAGCCTCGAGGCGCCCAGCCTCAGCAGCGGGGGGCGGCGAACGCAGCAGGGGGGCAAGGTGCAGCGCCGGCTCAGCTCGGAAAGGCCTACGGTTTGGAAAGCCAACGTGCTGGGCAAGCTACCGCCCATGGATATGCAGCTGATGGCCGAGCTATTCCCCATCATGATCCGCGGTGTCCTGGCGAACTCGTACCAGATTCGGGCCTTGAGTGCAGCGCAGTTTCAAACGTTCCTGATCGACGAGAACGCCGAGGTCGCGACGGGAGGCCTGGCTGCGGGCAGGTCATGCGCGAAGCAAGCGGCAGCCGCGAGGGAGGAACGCGAGAAGGACCCGTCGAACCCCCTTCCCGAGTTGGCTATGGGGCCCGCTTGCGCACAACTTGCCCTCGTTGTTTGCAAGAAGACCGTCGAGGCAGGAGTTGCAGCTGGCGCGGTCAACCAGCAGAAGTGGAAGGAGTAGCAGGAGAAACTGGACGGCATCGCGAATCTCACCGAGCTCAGCCTCCTCATCCGCGGCTTCCGCGTGCCGCACGCCTACAAAGAGGGCCAGGCGAAGATCACCTTCTCGTTCGCGGACCTGCAGCTGACCTCGACGTTCATCGCGCGTATCACGCAGATGGGAGGGGTGCTGAAGCCAGGGATCGCGCCGCGTTCCAAAACAGAGCGCATCCTCCAGATGGCGATCGACAGCTTCGACGTCTAGACGCGGCAGCTGCCGCGAACGTGCCAGTCCAAGATCGGCCACTCCATGTTCCCCCTCGGCCTGGCGTTAGAACGCAAACCCTGGGCGGTCGCTCCTCGAGGTCGTCCCAGGTTCAGTCGCCACATGGTGTTAGAACGCATGTCTCTCCCTCTCGGCCTGGCGTTAGATCGCCAATCCTGGGCGGCCTCGCCTCGACGCTGTCCCAGGTTCAGTCGCCACATGGCGTTAGAACGCATGTCTCTCCCCCGCCTGGCGCTAGATCGCAAACCCTGGGCGACAGCTCCTCGAGGTCGCCCCGGGTTCAGTCGCCGCGGAGTGTTAGAACGCACGGAGGTGGGCAGTGTAGTGTTGAAGTTCGATTGCGCTCGGAAGCTCGAGGGTTTGCTGTGGATCGGGCCCATGCTGGGCTTCAGCGGCGCTCGGATGATCGGGGAATTGCAGCGGATCGGGCACGCGTTGTGGATCAGCCTGGTTCGGGCGGTCTTCGAGGTGCGGGGCGTCAGGGCGGCTCTGAAGTTCTGCGGGACGCGGTGGGGGCCTTTCCTTGTAGCCCCGAGGAGGATAGGGTGAGGCCTGCTGCTGCCGTCGCTGCCTTTTCGTCGTTTTCCCCCTCCTCCGATTCCTCCTCCCCCTGAAAGATCGCACAGCTATAAGGAACCAGTCCGGATGGCGATGCGTTTGTGAGTCGGGTGTTTTCCTCTGTGGGCTCCAGAGTCCAAGATCAACGTTTCCCGCTCAGTGCGCAACCTAGGTTGAGCGATGACAAATCGGGGCCCCCTGCCAAGGGGGGGGGCGACGCTTCGAACCGCCCTCGAAAGAGGCGCGCACGGTAGGTCGCAATTGTCTGAGTTGCTCGCGGATGATTGATTTCAAGGCGAACCCGTCGACCTCGGCCCGATGCCGCTCCGCCGCCGCGCCTCCTCCTCCTCCTCCTCCTCCTCCTCTTCCTCCTCCTCCCCATCTTCCGACTCCTACTCATACTTCTACTCTTCCTACTCTTCCTCCTCTTCCTCCTCCTCCTCCTCCTCCTCTTCCTCCTCCTCCCCCCCCCCCCTCCTCCTCCTCCTCCTCCTCCTCCTCCACCTCCGCCTCCTCCTCCCCCTCCTCCTCCTCCTCCTCCTCCTCCTCCTTCATCCTCCTCCTCCTCCTCCTCCTCCCCCCCCTCCTCCTCTCCTCCCCCCCCCTCCTCCTCCTCTACCTCCTCCTCCTCCTCCTCCTCCTCCTCCTCCTCGATCAAGCGTGGCCGTTTTAACCCGCGCGGCCGTTTTAACCCGCCTGGCCGTGGAGCGTTGCCCAGATGCAGCGTGGCCGCTTTAACCCGCGTGGCTGTTTTAACCCGCGTGGCCGTTTGAACCCCCATGCCGTTTTAACCTTTTAACCTTTCTGGTGCGCACTTGTGTCACAAGCGAAATTAAAGAGGCGGACGGCAGAGTCGATCCTCGAGAAAAGTAAGAATGCAAGGGGGGATGCGAAAGAGAGCTCGGGCGGCAGAGCCGATCCATTGCGCGCGCGCTGGCGCGTTCGAGGCGGCGCCGTGGCCCGGGGCCAAGTTATATGGCGGTCTGTGGCCCAGGGCACAGTTATATGGCGATTCCGTGGCCCAGGGCAAAATTATCTTGTGATTCCGTGGCCCCGGACAGAGTTGCGCGGCGATTTCGCGGCCGAAGACAAAGTTCCATGGCGACTCCGTGGCCACGGACAACGTTATATGTTGATTCAGTGGCCCAGGACAAAGTGAAGAGGAAAGGGGGAAGCAGGAGGATGATGTAGTGTCATGATTCATCATATTATATACTAGCGTTCTGCACATCCCCTCACCGTGATGACTCTAACGAGGACGACGACAATGCGATGATGCTGACGACGATGATGATAGTGGTGATGACGAGGATGATGATGAAGACGATGCAGGGTATCTTGGACCGTCTGGCAGTGCTCTTGGAGAATCTGGGAGCCCTTCTCGAGCCCCTCTTGGACCGTCTTGGTGATGATCGGGATGATGCTGATCATGATGATAATGGTGATGATGATCGGGTATATTGGACCGCCTTGGAGCATTCTTGGACAGTCTTGGAGCCCTCTTGAGCTCTATGGCTTGTCCCGGATTGGAGGCTCCTTGTAGCGAGTGGCGGTGCCAGCATCGCGCGCGCGCGTTGGCAGGTGAGCCCGCTATCTGATTGGCGCGGTTTGTACGTTTGTGTTTTTTTGCTTCGCGCGTGTGCTGCGCCCGGTGCGGCACGCTGCGCCTCCTGCGCTTGGCCTGCCGCCGGTTTGCCTGGCGCGCGCGCGGCGCGCGCGTTGGTCGAGGGCGGCCCTCGATTTGTTTCGTTTTTGTTCCCGGCCCTCCTGCGCGTCAGGTTCTCGCTTGCGCTTTTCGCTTCATCCCTTCTGTTTGTCTCTCCACTCCTCTTCTCCTCTGTTCCCCCTCCTCTCCCTTTTAGTTTTGTTTTGTTTTTTTGTTATTTCCGCTTCGTTTCCTCATCTTCCATTCCTTTTTATATTGCGTCGTATGTCTTCGTTCTGTGGCCGTGCCACGGCAATTTCAGCGCGCTCTTCGCGCCGCGCGCTGCTCGCTGCCCCCGTGCGATTTGCGTTTGGAAGTCCCTGTGGTGCGCACCGCGCGCCGGTGCCGCGACCAGTCTAGCGCGCCCATCGCGCGGTTCGCGGCCCCATGTGCAGCCCTGCCGACGCGATGTGGTCGCGCGCCGCCTCCCCGACCATTCCGGATCAACGTTCGCAGGTTTCGCGGCCCCACGAGGAGCTCGACCGAAGTCCCGCAGAGCACAAGCCGCACGCCGCGGCCCAGATTATTTGAGGCCGCCCATCTCGCGGTTCGCGGCTCCATATCCTTGGAATTCCATCGACGACCCCCGCGGCGCAGGCCGGGCGCCGCGCCTGGGCCATTCCGTTTCACCCGCCGCGCCATTCGTGCCCCCATAGGGAACACCACCTGATGCGTTGCGGCATAGGCCGCTGGCCACCGCCCAGGCCATGTCAGTTCATTCAGAACACGACTCGCGCACCCCTGGGGAGGTCTACATATTTTTTTGCACCGGACGCATGCCGCCGCGCAGACCGTTGCAACATGCCCATCGAACGGTTCGCGGCCCCATGCGCAACCCCCCAAGGGTTTTGTCGCACGGGGCGCATGTTGCCGCCCAGACTATGTCAGATCGCTTGTCATGTGTTTCGTGGCGCCATTAATAAAGAATCCGCCGAAGACGCTTGCGACGCAGGCCGCGCGCCGCCGCCCAGACCACTTCAGCTGTCCTCGCGCGATCTGCGGCCGCATTCGGAAATTCCATTGAAACGTTTTGAGGCGCAAACCGCGCGCCGCCGTCCAGACCATTGACCGCGCGCCTCTCGCACTTCGGGGCCCCACATGGAACCCCGCCGAAAGCATTTGCGGCGCGTGCCGCATTGCGCCGCCCAGACCATTTCAGCAACATTGCTCGCGTGTTCAGTAGCCAAATTTGGAGCGCAGGCCGCGTGCCGCCGCCCCCGGCCAATTCAGCGTTGCCTCTCGCGGTCCGTGGGCCCATCCGGAGTTCCACTGGAGAATGTTGTGGCGCAGGCTGCTCGCCGCCGCCCATGCCACTTCGTCGCAGTCTTCGCGCGGTCGGTGGTTTCGCCAGGGGCTCCACCGAAGGCCCTTGTGGTAGATTTCGCATGCGGACTCGCGCGTGTCGGGCGGTCTTTTTTATTTTTCGCACTGCGTTCAAACATGGTTGGCTTTCGCTCGGTTTATTTTGTTTTGGAGGGGCAGAAGGGAAGATGCGGGCAAATGGGCCAGCACGATGGCCAGGGGCGACGACCAAGGTCATTATTGGAAGGATGACGCGGGCGAGGGGCGCCTCCGATGATTGGCGCTCAAACTACACTGTTTCCAGCCTTTGAGCGAGCAGTATCTCCCAGTTACATTCTATTCTGGCGAGGCTCGGAACTGACATTGTGGGCGGACGGCGCTGGGGGAAGGATCAACGAGGGAGGATTAGGAGCAGAAAGGAGGGGGGGGAGGGGCAGAGCCGGGGGCGGCGGGCAGGGTTGGGGGTGGGGGCCAGAGGGCTTGCGGGGGAGCCCATTGGAGGCTCCGCGAGGGTTTCCACGGGCCCGCGGTGGGTCCGGACCCCCCCCCCCGCGGTGGGTCCGGACTCCCCTCGGCATCCTTTCTTTACACGTCTGAGAAGACTGCCGAGGGGAGTCCGAACCCACCGCGGCCCCCATGGGCGCTCCCGCGGCGGTGGGTCCGGACTCCCCTCGGCAGTGGTTTTGGACATGGCTGGGGGGCCTGGCACGGGCTCGGCAGGGCCCCCATGGGGCCTTCGATGCGACTGGGGATCCACAGCGCTGTTTGGGTCCCAGAGTTGTCGCGTCGTTCGGGGTGTGGGCGGGGGAGTATGATGCCTCCAGATTACGCCACGCTGGGTGCGCGAGAATGAGCTTGTGGAGCCTGAGCGGGGCCTGCAGTGGGCCGTCCTGGAGCTGTTTTGGAGTATTGTAGCAGTGCCATATTAGGATTTCGTGTTTTTTCTTTCGGTGGGCATCTTGGCGACTCTCTGGCGCCCAATGGGGATCGATGAGCCGTTTTGGAAGCCCTGGGATTGCGTTGCAGCGGACTCCGCTTGCCTTCGCGCCGTCGTTCGCACGCCGTGGGAGCGACGCGGAGGCATTTTAACCATCCGAAGAGTAGTGTGAAGGAGCTTTTGGAGGCCGTCGTTTAAACAAAAAATCATCCTGTCCGTTGGGTCTTCGTTGAGAGCCCGGAGCGCTGAGCGCCTCATCTCCTGCCTTCCCCCTCCTCTACCACCGCCTCCTCCTCCAGACCGCTTCAGTCCGTCATCATCTACCCTCTTCTCTCCTGCGTGGTCGGTCTTCGCTTAGGAGTCTCCGCCAATGCAGTTTCCGCGCACCTCTTGGGCGATTCGTGGCCCCATAGGGCTTCGCCGAAGGCCCCTGTAGCAAGGGCCGCCCCCTGCTGCCCGATGCCAATTCAGCGCGCGCCCCGCGCGGTTCGCGGCTCCTGAAAGGGCGTTGCACCGAACATTATCGTAGCAAAGGATGCACACCGCCCGCCCAGACCACGTCAGCGCGCCCCTCGCTCGGTTCGCGGCCCCATAGGATAGCATTCCGAAGGCCTTTGCAGCGCGGGCCACTTGCCAGCGCCCAGACAATTTCAGCTCCCCCCTCGCAAAGTTCGCGGCCCCATTGGGAGTTCCACCGACGGTCTTTGTAGCGCAGGCCGCGCGTCGCCGCCCAGTCCACCCGAGTTCTTTATTCGCGCGGCTCGTGGCCCCGAAGGGGGCCCCGCCGAAGCTTCTGGTAGCGCGGGCCGCATGCCGCCGCCCAGACCGCTTCAGGTCTTTATTCACCCCGTTCGTGGCGCCATTGGAAGTTCGGCCGCCGACCAGCGCAATTCTTGCGCGCGCCGCGGCCTCGTGGAGGTTTACGCCGAAGGCTTGTGTTGCGCGCGCCGCACGTCGCCACCGACAGCATTGCGGCGCACTCTCCCGCGGCTCGTGGCCCCACAGGATGCAACGCCGAAGGCTTCTTTCGCGCTGGCTGCTTGCCGC